CACAGATTGTGTCGTGATTCTCTCACTATCAAGAACTATTGTCCAGCATATATTTTGGAGAGCATCAAGGTGCCTATCACGTTATGCAAACTCTTGGCGATAGTTGCGTAATTTCGGCCAGAATCTGCTTTCAACACTCTTCTTACAGGGAACATTATCCTTTGGGTTGTTCTTACACCGTGTGGGCATTGTCCACCTTGTCCATCCACACAATCGCGGCACTGCGCACTGAGGCTGGTCCCACCTTTGCTTGTTATTATCAGACATTGAATCCGGGGCTGTTCCAACTTGGCGACCTTTGGCGAACTTTCCGACTACAACGTGCCTTTCACCACGCCATTGTACCCCGGCACTCTCTACATACTCTAAAAACGTAGTTATACGCTTCCAGACTCTCAAACTCAAAGCTTTGAAACGCTCTCCTGAGTAAACATCATGTGCAATACCAAATACAAAGCTAAAGTCCATGGATTTGTCGGGTGTTAGACGGTCTCTATTGAAGCGACCAACCCCCCGCGGAGACGGGTCCATGTCAACAGATTATATGTCTTGTTCCTGTAACGCTGTAGGACGCTATACGAACTCTTCGTATAATCGAGTAGAAAGGTAAATTTTCATTCACTTAGTCGGCCATTTCCACGATTAAGGCGTGTGGTGCATGAGTATAAGTCGTTACTGTGACGAACATAACAAGCCTGGTATCATGAAAACGATAGGACGTTCTCCATGCACGCCACCGCTCGACTGTCCACCTGCGAATGTTCACACTATGATTCAGTTCAGCTTATCTTTAAACGAGGCGTAACTTATGATATCGGCCTCGACATCCTTGACAACCTTACCAAAAACATCATGGCCCAAATGCCTCGCCTTCGTTCGCCCTCCCCTGTACTACATGACACTCCGCTGAGCTCGAGGGCCTCGGTAAACACCACAGGTGCGACGCCATTCTTACCCCTCTCCACGTGTGTGTGTTGTCGGTCGGCTACCCACCGCCGAGTGTCCGCGTTAGGGTGGCAGAACACACGATTTAGTCTTATGGGGATTCCTATAGTTAAACACCCCAAGGTGACTCACTTCGACGCGGTAAAAATTATAGTGGGGTGCACTAGAGAAGTTATGATCTTTTAGCATCATAACAACCACTTTGATTTGGCTCTCTACCGAGGTCAACGGAACTGCAGCTGGCTCACCCCGAACGCCGTTGCGTAATGCCGTGCATTTATACCAGAGCATGCGCAAGGAAATCTTCACAATCCAACTCATACTGTGTACAAGCCGATACCTATTTATACCACACAGCGCAGTTGACTCATGGCTACCTCTCACCCAAGTCGCTCTAGCTAGGATTCAAGAGGTTTGTCTGCTTTACCTTCTATACCCGCGTCATACATGTAGACCCCCGGGGGTCGCCCATAAATACTGTGTTTTGCGACCTCAAAACGCGGTACCCAACGCTCAAGTGAGGCCTAGTGACACTAATATGCACGGTGTAAACCCTGCCTCGCTCATCATGTATCCTATCTTCTCGACCGAATATCATTCCGTGGGCGCACTAGATCTTTACAAACCCATTACTAGAACTGAGATCACCGACTGTTATTATATGGACGACGTAAGTCCAGTAACGCCCCTTATGTGTTTCATGGTTCGGCTGCCACCATTTTGACAAAACATACCTGCAGAGGCAAGGAAGATAAGCGGTGCAAATCCGCCAGCGTACCTAAACCACACGACGCAACCTTTTATGAGACCTCCTCTACTAACCAGACGCGCTCACGACGTGTTTATCCTTGTGATGAAGGATCGTGTTACACATTACGCGACCAACATCACTTTTAAACTCTGACCGTCAAAGGACGCCCGTCTATCGCTTTTGTGGTTTGCGTCACTGACTCCAGCGTCAATCCAGCACCATCGCTAAATCTATGAATAACTGGTACATACCTGGCATTGATTGCCAGTGATCTCTTGCATTTATCTGATGACTAGCTTGTCACCTCGTTGTACCAACGGTTACTGTAAAATGTCGTGAATATCCGCACACCCTGTACGCTGTCTCTACCTGGAGACCACCTTGTCACCGAGATCTTGTCACTCGTTGCACCGCCATGTACAGTACATTCAAGTGAATATCCGCACACCCTGCGTGTGTGAAACTACACTGTACGTGTTCACCCGGTGAACATCTTGTCACCTCGTTCCACCGTCAAATTGCATTACAGTCTAGTGGATATCCACAAACCCTTTGTGTGTGCTACGTCTTCACCTGGTGACCATCTCATCACCTCGTTGCATCGCCATGTTACAGTACAATCTCTAGCGCAAACTCTTTGCGCTAATTCGTAACCAGGAGACCATCTTGTCACGCTAATTCGTAACCAGGAGACCATCTTGTCACCTCGTTGCACCGCCATGTTACAGTATAATCTAGTGAATATCCGCCCGTAAGTTTTTGTGCTTAAAGTCTTCACCTAGTGACCACCTTGTCACTTCGTTGAACTGCCGTGTTACATAACAATCTAGTGAATATCCTCAAACTCTTTGTACTATTAGTCTTCATCCAGTGACCACTCTGTCACCTCGTTGTACTGCCATGTTACAGAACAATGCAATGAATATCCGCCCGCAAACTCTTTATGCACCCAGTGACCACCTTGTCACCTAGTTGTAATGCCGCTTTACAGTACAATCTAGAGAATATCCGCAAAGTGCTAAACCTTCACTCGGTGACCACCATGTCACTACGCTGCCCCACCATATCGCAGTACAATCTGGTGATAATCCGCAAACTCTTTGTGCTAAACCTTCACTCAGTGACCACCTTGTCACCACGTTGTACCGCCATGTTGCAGTGCAATCTAGTGAATGTCCACAAACTCGTTGTGCTAAACCTGCACTCTGTGACCACTTTGTCACCTCATTGTACCGCCATGTTGCAGTACGATCTAGTGAATATCCAAAACCCTTTGCGCTAAGCATTCACTCAGTGACCACCTTGTCACCTCATTGTACCGCCATGTTGCAGTACGATCTAGTGAATATCCAAAACCCTTTGCGCTAAGCATTCACTCAGTGACCACCTTGTCACCACGTTGTACCGCCATGTTGCAGTACGATCTAGTGAATATCCACAAACTCGTTGCGCTAAACATTCACTCAGTGACCACCTTGTCACCTCGTTGCACCGCCATGTTGCAGTACGATCTAGTGAATATCCACAAACTCGTTGGGCTAAACATTCACTCAGTGACCACCTTGTCACCTCGTTGCACCGCCATGTTGCAGTACGATCTAGTGAATATCCACAAACTCGTTGCGCTAAACATTCACTCAGTGACCACCTTGTCACCTCGTTGCACCGCCATGTTGCAGTACAATCTAGTGAATATCCGCACCGATTTCGGCCTTCACGCCTATTGCGCATAGCCAAAATTTGCATACAAAAAGAGATTGGCGCCACGTGCAATGCTCCTGCACGTGCGTTCCACATCACAGACAACTAAAATTAGCATTAGAAACCAGAACAAACACAACAACGGCGGTCTCGGTTCTAAATGCCCAAGTTTACATCAAAACGCACGAAAATTGGTTATCACAAACCGCATCGACAATCTGAGAAATTCCAAAACAACAATACAGCAGCAACGAAACAAATGGCTAACCATAGTAAACCATGTCAACGATGAGACGATGTTGCAAATCTTGCCGGGGCCTGAGCCGGTCGCCTGCCGTTTGAGGCTGCCCAGGCTCCGACGCTCGAACTGAATTTCTCTGCTGCGCTACGGCGTTGACTGGGCTTGGTGGTGGGTCCTGCTCTTCCTGCTGGCTGCTGCTCCGGAATGGTGTGCCTTCTGCTGGGGGCTGGAGGCTGGACTTGTCCCTCGGCCGGGAGAACTTGCTGTACTCTGCCTTGCCCGGGTTGGTCTTGTTGTTGTCCTACTCTGCGTGGGTTCCTTCCGGCTTCACTTGTGCTTGGAGAAGCTACTTGCTGGAATCCATACTATAAAACGACAACAACAACGTGCATGTCAGAACAAGCTCGTCAGACCAAATTTCCCCAACCCGAGCACAAGCCTCCGCCACGCGAAGCAGATCGGCTAAGTCGTGGAGCGCTTTGGGAAAGCTTGACTCGAGTCGCCCTCCCTGAGTAACACTCAGAAAACAAAATGCTGAAACCCACCCTTCTAAAACCCAAACGACAACAAAACGGGTCAGACTCAGAACAAAGAGACGGCGGCCCCACGTGCGCCCAAACTCCCCGAACGTACTGTTACTCAAACAGACCTGGGGAGCACCCAGAAATGCAAAAACGTTTGTAAAAGAGAAACGTTACCCTCGCCACACCCCAAACCTTTTCTTGGAGCAAACTTGCGAGCTGAACGAAGAAGTTCTGCACGTGGGGACCGGGAAAACTGTGCTGGGCTTCACTGCGACCCTAGCCTGCTGCTCCTCGCGGTGCGGACGGCTCCGAAGAAATGGTTGAAGTGATAAGGCGCGCATGCCTTATATGGGGTTGGTTAATTAGATTATTACGGATGACCAATGAGAGCGCAGTGTAATTACGACACGAATGCCTGTCAGTTTGGGCACCTGGCGTAGTGATATTTCTACTAAGGGAGATAGGGTTACATTGGAATATTATGTCATATCTCATTACGTTTTAAATCAGGAATATATGCCACTAGTCAATTTGTATGTCTGGGAAAATCAACGCTGCAAAATGTTTTTCAAGAGACGAGCTAGAAAGGACATATATTGAAAATCTCGAAAAGTGCTTCAACGGTAGAGAAAGAAATAGCACAGCAGAATTATTACAAAAAAGGCAAACTTATGGAAGAAAGGTAAGCAAGACGATAAAAATCTCTAAATTGGCACCAATGCTCGTTATTCCACACAGTCAAGTTTTTCTGGTTTCCTCTGGGGTGAGGATTACTAGGCCCCGCGGATGAATACTGTTCAGTACATAATGTGATCAGGAGGAAGTGGCCTTCAGAAAAGATGGCTGTTCCTTTTTGGCTTTTGCTTTGTCTGTTTGGAGGTTTTGCTGGTAAGTCAATTTAATATAGAATTTGCGTATTGTTAAAGAATGACATGTTATACTGTATGTACTGTATACCTTAAAATGTGGAGTGGAGCGGCTGTCAACATTCACCTTAAAATGTAATATCTGTGGGAGTACCCAAGCGTGAGTTCATATAATCTCCAAGCAGATCTTTTTGGTAGGGGTAAGACAGTATCAAATTGGCCAGTCTGTAACCATTTCTTAACCAGATCTGCTTGTAGATTAGAGTTCATATTCAAATGCAGAACACAAAAATGTCCCTATCAACAACCTAACATTATCACGGGGGTGATAAAAGTTTAATGCTAGTTTGTTTCGTCACAGGGTAAGGTGGGCAGGATGCTGTTGCTACAATTACAGTAATATGGTATCAGGCTGATTTCCATTGCAAATCATACAGTATTTGTTCTCTATTTGTGTTTTAGAAGCGAACACGTCGCTGGACTGGTTTGACTTTTACGATGCAAAAGCTAAACTCGGCTTCAACGATGAAGGTATCGGAGGTATTGACGAGGAGGAGTGCGCCAGACGGTGTTTAGTGGGAACTTCTACTGTTCCGTTTGGATCGTGTCTGTCGTTTCATTATGACCACCAGCTCCTTCGCTGTACCCTGAGTACAGCAAACAGGGACACACCAGGAGCAACTTTAGCTGACAGTGACCCACCGTCGCGATTTGACTACTACGAAAGAAAAGGTACTGAATTATTTTTTATATATATGGGCATTACACTTAATGTGCTAGATATTACAGGGAACTCCTAATTACTATGTTTACCTTCGGGGAAGGAAAGCATATTGTTTTGCCCAGTTTCTTCCTCTTCTTCTTCTCTAAACACACTAGGGCAATGACCTGGACCTGTCACCATGGCAACGTGTGCTGTAGATGGCATCCTTTGGTGTAGGACTACATTATGCCCTAGACCACATGTGTTCACATGTGCATTTAGTCCTTTTGGATGGGAATATGCAATAAAGATTCATATCATTGTATAGCAGGACAAAGCTAGATGTGCTTGTCACGATACATGTATTGATATATGAATATGTTTAAGTAAGAATAAACAAAGCAGTAAGTTTGTTAAGCTAGATCATATGAAGGTGAATAGTATGCATTTGCGTCGCAAATGTGTTCTCCACAGCTCCCTACAGTCCCTGTACTTAAAAGTGATCTCCACAGCTCCCTACAGTCCCTGTACTTTAATGTGTTCCCCACAGCTCCCTACAGTCCCTGTACTTAACTGTGTTCCACACAGCTCCCTACAGTCCCTGTGATTTACTATGTTCCCCACAGCTCCCCACAGTCCTTGTACTTTACTGTGTTCCCCACAGCTCCCTACAGTCCCTGTGCTTTACTGTGTTCCCAAAAGCTCCCTACAGTCCCTGTACTTTACTGTGTTCCCCACAGCTCCCTACAGTCCCTGTACTTTACTGTGTTCTCCACAGCTCCCTACAGTCCCTGTACTTTACTGTGTTCCCCACAGCTCCCTACAGTCCTTGTACTTTACTGTGTTCCCCACAGCTCCCTACAGTCCCTGTACTTTACTGTGTTCTCCACAGCTCCCTACAGTCCCCGTGCATTACCGTGTTCCAAACAGCTCCCTACAGTCCCTGTACTTTACTGTGTTCTCCACAGCTCCCTACAGTCCCTGTACTTTACTGTGTTCTCCACAGCTCCCTACAGTCCCTGTACTTTACTGTATTCTCCACAGCTCCCTACAGTCCCTGTACTTTACTGTGTTCCACACAGTTCCCTACAGCCCCTGTGATTTACTGTGTTCCCCACAGCTCCCCACAGTCCCTGTACTTTACTGTGTTCTCCACAGATCCCAACAGTCCCTCTACTTTACTGTGTTCCCCACAGCTCCCTACAGTCCCTGTGATTTTGAGACAGACCTGTGTCAGTACACACAGAACACGACAGACAACTTTGACTGGACACGTGACTCTCGTGGTACTAGGTCGAGCAGGACTGGTCCAACAGTCGACCACACCACTGGCACCAGCACAGGTTTGTTAGGAGATTTTTAAGGCACGTTTAGGTTAAGTTTACTGTAGCATCAGTATTTAGTTTAGTTGCACCCCTAGACGATGGATTACCAACAAGGCCAGCTTACATATTTGGAAAACCATGATAGCGACTTTTGCCAGGACATGTTCGAAGACGTTGATTACGTAATAACCCGGTCTCTTACGATCAGATGGAACATGCGTTAGTTCGCTCTACTTTTTCCTTATTAACATTTTAGAATTAAACAAATGAGCCAACTTTCTTCAAATTACTATAGAACTAGAGAATAGAACAAATCAGGCCGTGTTTATCTATTGCAGGACATTACATGTACATTGAAACATCGTTACCGCGAGAACAGGGAGACACCGCCCGTCTGTTATCCCCGTCCTACCGCAGGTATCCTGACGGTCAGTGTCTGCTGTTCTGGACACACATGTATGGAGTTCACATAGGTAAGCCACAAAACTACTGTAAACACCTTTTGTATCACATAAATATTTGCAGAAAACGTCTAGGAAGAAGAATTCAGCTTTGCTATCACCACTGTTCCTATGTGGTCATTCTTACATTTAGGTACGCTGAAGGTATCCGTAAAAACTGGAGGTACGACTTCTGACATCTGGACCAGATCTGGTAACCAAGGTGACCAGTGGTTCAGCGTCGCCGTCAACATTCCTGCTAACAACAGTTACCAGGTCATCTTTGAAGGAGTCAGAGGATCTGGGATCCATGGTGACATTGCAATAGATGACGTCAGTATCCTGCAAAGAACTTGTTTAGGTGAGGTGTTTTTAATCTAGAGCAAAATCAATATAACAAACACTTGATGATGTCGACGCTTGATGATGTATATACGCATGTGCTGTGTAGACGTTGTGAAGGCCTCAAGTTACTAAGTTCTTTTTATGCTGCAGATGTCGTCGACTGTGTTCCCAGACAAGGCAAAGGTCTGTGCTCCCATACCTGCACCAACTCCGACAACGGTTTCTCCTGCTCCTGTAATGTTGGCTATAGTCTTCAACAGGACGGCCTCTCATGTAATGGTGAGTGTCACGCTTTACATATAGTCTTGTATTCTTAACAATCTGCAGAAAATCTGAAATATTTGAAGTATTCGGATAGTACTTTATGACTTGTGTTTATCTTTCGATGATGACATAGACAATAATGAGTGCAGTTCAAACGAAGGCCGGGGACCATGTGATCACACCTGTACCAACACAGTCGGAAGTTATACCTGTTCGTGTTATAATGGCTTCACCCTCAACTCCGATAGACATGTGTGTGACCGTAAGTACAGTTATCCTAACTGATATCTTACATAGATCTCATGGTTGTCATTGTAAATGACTTGTAAGAAACATACAAGTGTTTTGATAGAATGTACTCCTATTATGGAACTGAGGACTGTGGTTAGCCATCATGTGAACGCAGTCTTCTACATCAATAGGCAAAATGAAGCACCTGTCATTGACCTAATTCCCATGAGAAAGCTACTTCTAAATTTGTTGCTAGAGGAAGAGGAATCGGAGACGCATAAACGTGTTTCTAACATTTCTAATTGACATTTTTTTCATAAATTTGACCCAAAAAATGCAATCAAATTTAGATCCAGTAAACGTGGCGCACACACGTATACATCCCAACAGACCCATCATCTCCCCTCAACATAAGCCGACAGGAGGACCACAACTATTGTGACGTCAGCTGGTTATCACCCGCGGTACCCAGAGGTAGAGGAAACATCACCGGATATAATGTACGTTTAAAGATCCATAATGCAATATCAGCAACGTTCCTCCGACCTTGACATTTCTTCCCAATCGTTGAGCAGACATTTCTTGTCCAAATCTCGTTTGTAGTTCAAATGAATCTCATTGATAAAGGAATGTAGTTTGCACATTTTGTGTGTTTTGTTGTCTTTCAAAGCATACATTTACTCATGGAAGATATTTTGGTCACTCCAAAATATATATTATATAAGCAAAATCTGATATCAGGAAGTCCTATTTTATAAATGGCACGACAATACTTATCTACGTATATCCAATCTACAGCAGCAGTCTTTATGAGTTAATGCTTGCTATCCAATTAAAAAAAACGCCTACAGCCCAACCTTATTTTTTGTCTTTAATACAAGGTGTATCTTCAAAGAGATTACCTAGATAGCAATGGACAGACACAAAGGGGCGAATACAGCGTTAAGTCAACAGAATCCACGAGCATCAGACTGCTGAAGTCGACCAAAACGGAGATTTTGGATCTGCTGCCCAACTCTGTGTACACCATAAAGGTGACAGGTTTGACCTACACAGGGGAGGGATACTTCAGTCAGGCTGTCAACTGTACCGTTCCACCGGGAAGTGAGTATAGGCCGAGTCTTGTCTGAGTTTTACAACACGAGATAGAAGACAATTGAAGATTATACATGGCACATTCGTACAGGGTATGACACAATATTGCTCTGATGATTAAATTTACTTTTTTTTTCTCTTGGATTTGCAGAACCTCCAGCGCCTGAAAAGCCGGTGTTGCAGGATCAAACGGAATTAAACTCCACAACTCTCCCGATAGAGGTCAAACCGACATCTGAGAGGCATGGTCCGATAGGGTGAGCCTTCACTGACGATGTTAAGACATGATATATTAATTAATCATCTATGTAAATGAGGAAGAAAATTGGTGTATCAAACAAGAAAAAAAATCATGAAAGTTGTCATCAAATATGGCATCCCCTAATTGTTACATTTTAGACACTATTTATACAGGGGGGATCGTTCAAAATAATATTTCTAAAACGCCTAATGACGGAGTGAGGCGTACTAGCTCACTGGTTTATATTTTGCAGATGTTACCACGTGGTTGTGGTGAAGAGCAGCAGTACAAATAACCTACCAGACCCGGAGATGCTACACGCATACAAGACGCTACAGGAAGCAAAGAACTCTGGGAACGCCAACTTTGCGTACATTGCCATGGCTCTGACACCGTAAGTATTTCTATAATTTCACACAACATTCACTTTAACGAACAACAAAAATTATGTACCTATGGACCCATATGGGATTCATATCATTTGGCATAGGAGTTTAATCTCAGCAAATGCCTTATGTCATTGCCATGAGTATAAGGAAGATGGTCGCTGCCCTAACATAACCGTTCTTACCATGTTCCGTGTTCCACTGTTCCCCAGGAACACAGTAGGTGCCTCCACCACAGTGACGGTAGGAGATGGAGCAGTGACCAGTTGTAACCCCGAGCAGGCCGAAAGTTTTAGCAGGGAGAAGGTCGCTGCCCTAACCTAACCGTTCTATTAAACCATGTTCCGTGTTCCACTGTTCCCCAGGGACACAGTAGGTGACTCCACCACAGTGACAGTAGGAGATGAAACAGTGACCAGTTGTATCCCTCAGCAGGCCGGCCGGAAGAGGCGTGCTCTGACATCTGATGACGTGTATTACCAGGAGTACACCAACTCCCCGCTGGAGCCGGACTCATCCTACACCGCGTCTGTCAGGGCGTATGGACAGGACGACGGAGGACAGGTCGGAAAATATTATCTCTGTCTGAACACTTTCCATTTACTTTAAATGGCCTTACCTATGCTTTCACTTATCCATGAAATAGAAGAAAACGTTTTAATAGTCACGCTTTAAAACATTTTAAAACTATTTCGTATTCATTTACCGTCTTCTAAATCATTTTTACAGCCATATTTTTCTGCAAGTCCGTACATGGACCCAGTGTCAACCGGTAAGGACAAAATCTTAAATATAATATGTTGATTCTTTATTGACACAACAAAAAAGTACAGAGACAAAGATAATAGCAATATTTAGTATGAGGAACATTACTGGGTGTCTACCCCAGAAGCACCGACCTACAAAAAGTCAATCCGCGTGTGCAATTACGTGATACAATAAACTCTGGCATAGACATATAAAGTTATATATGTATATATGATAAAAAAACAGTATCAGGGTCCTTTTGACAAGTAAGATCGTTAACTGTACAATTAAAACCTTCCATTATTCAACATGTGGTCAGCGGGGCTCTTATTAATTAAGAACATTAAGACATTGAATTGTTTATCAGTCTTGTCATGTGCGGAATAGCGCAATGTGCGGAATTCCTGTGGTTGAAAAAACTATTGCATGAAAAATCGCATCCAGCAGGGGCAGAAAAACTTTAGACCGCCAGGGGTCTCCACTGACACGTGTAGATGATGCTGAAAACTAAATACATACATTGTGGGATATTATATTTTCATTAGGCTACGCTAATGGATGACATTAGCGCGCGCATTGATTTTCGCCTGATTTCGAAAAGGCTGGGGCTATTGACAGGATGATCCTGTGAATAGTAGAAAAATGCACATTGTCCAGATGATCCTGTCAATAGTACACTGAATTTTCCCTCTATTGACCGGATGGTCCTCTTAACAGCACAATTTTTCCACTATTGAATTTAAACATTATCAAACATTCAAATCAGGACCTCTTTTGTATTGTTGTTAGAATAGATTTCTTTATGGAAATGTTAGAATATATTTCTTTATTAAAGTGTGTGATTATGACATTCTTAAGACATCCAAATAAATGAAGATGCTGACTTTTGAACCACATGTATATTTTTCTCATTCACCAATATCACTGTGCAACAATTACGGTAACGGCTCAAAGCTGATGATCATAGATCTGCGGAGATCAAGTGACATTGGAATAGGACCACTTTTATTGGGGGTGTCAATAATACATATGTATAATTGTTGTAAATTGGGAAATAATACAGTTTTAAATCTTATAACCCAGTATGTATGGTCATTTGAGTTGCAGCAAGTATACTTACTTGTATGTGATGCCCAGTGCATATGCCGTATATAAGTGTAGGTATCCTTAATGTTATCAGCCTTTGCTTTATGTAGAGAGAATATTGCCATGTGAGTGATTACAATGTAGTCAAAATTGACATTGAAATGTAGAAATGTATTAGAGTTGACAATGTACCAATGCACTGTTTTCAGACTTGGTTATTGATATAACATAATCCAACCTTCTTCTATCGTTATTCATTAAGATGCCTACTTGATTTGTTATGTTTTGAATTGTTATGATTATCGTTATGATCAAGGATTTGTTATGATTTGAATTATTGTTATGATTATTGTTATGATCAAGGGTTTGTTCTGCTTTGAACTATTATTATGACAGTTGCTATCATCAATAATTTGCTATAACTTGATAATTATGATAATTGTTATGATCAAGGATTTGTTTTGATTTGAGTTATTGTTATGGTTATTGTCATGATGAAGGATTTGTTATGATTTAAATTATTGTCATGATTATTGTATTGATCAAGGATTTGTTATGATTTGAATTATTCTTTAATGGATGGTTCAGTGTATGTACATGTATTTATTGGATATATGAATAAAAAAAAGATGCCGATTCTGCATTTTGTGGTAAAAAAAGGGCACGGATGTTAATTCAATGTGGATTTACAAATGCATGAGAATTGTTTCTAGTTCTTCAGCAGCCCAAGGCTAAGTCAATTATTGTAATCTCAAAGATCTGAACTAAGACTGCACTGTCACGTGGCACTGTCATCCTAGGTTTGCCTGAGGAATTATTCACTGTCTTCCAACTGACTTACAAGATTTCTCCTTTGGTTTTCTCTTTCCAGGACCCGATCACATGTTTAAGTTCATTTGACTTTATGTACTTCTGAGTTGCGTTTATGTACTTTTACAATTTGTGTGCACTTTTGTCTCTTATGTACCGATTATGTTATATACAACCTCTTTATATACAAGTTCTTTAATTTCGTGTCATGTTTCTAGACTGACCTTTTGATTCGGACTTGGATTTATGTTTCTATGATTTCTGTACCTATGTTTATGTTCATGTTTATGTTTGGGTGTCTTATAAGCCCATTTGGGCTGGGCGACAAAAGTCGCAAGACATGTAAATAAAAATTCATTCATTCATTCATTCATTCATTCTGTGCTAGATTGAGAGATAAGATTATACTATATACTATATATCATGCAGTATGATAACCCCACTGTTAAATGTACAGTGGCAAAGGGATGAAGAACTATGCCAAATAGCAGTTACTCAAGCAACTGGATATGATTTTGGAAACGGTCAGACGTTTCAGCTAGTATCCACTACCTTCCGTCAGTGACTGAGAGACCAGAGGAGAAATGTAGGTTTATAAGTACAAACTATTGATTGGATGCATAACAGGAGCTTTCTGACTAATTTGCATTATCTTGTCTGACTTTTGTTCCCTTTTCGACTTCGACTTGTACTTGTACTTATAAACCTACATTTCGCCTCTGGTCTCTCAGTCACTGACGAAAGGTAGTGGATACTAGCTGAAATGTCTGACCGTTTCCAAAATCATATCCAGTTGCTTGAGTAACTGCTTTTTGGCGTATCATTTTACCTAGATGTCTAACCTTCATCGACGTATAAAGAACTAGTGCGGTGTGAGTTACCTCTACACTGGTAATTCATCAATTAAACACCCAACACTGGAACTGATGATTTTCACTGAAAATTTATTGACACCTATAAGTGAAACAAACAATGATAAGAGGCTAGGATTTCTGTTTCACACGTGTAGTACACAATAAACAAGTTTCAGGTGAAGTTGTTGGAGATATTTTTTACAAGTACGGAAATCTAATTGTCCTGTGTTTCAGAAACGTTTCATAATATATGATAATATATAATAAACTCAGAAATTGTGCTATTTTACACAAATGAAATACTAGTAATACAAACTTTTTTTACATACAAGTCCATAATGAAAGGTTCCATGACACTACTGATAAAACATAAAACCATTTATGGTCATACATCCAATATAATCTGAACACAGAAATGTCTTATGAATATCTTCACTTTTCAAACATACTGATCTAATATTGATAAGGTGGCACTGTACAAACATTTCACAGGTACATGTGTACAATAATTTTGACCTCCCCTTGGAAAAGAATATAGGCCTTGCATTGAACCACTCCGTTAAAAAAATTGACCGTCAAAGCCATTCTAAGAAATTTAGAATCATCAGAGGATGCCAATAGGATTTAAAATATTGAGTTTGTTAGGCCTTATGATGATATCAAACATTAAAACAGTTACGTTTATCATAAGTTATAGATAATCTCCGGTAACTATAATAGACATACATGCAATATAATATTTATACGAATATTAATACTGTATAATGACATCAATTGTCGCACTTCACTAAAACTTGAACTGATGACATAGAAACAATACTAGCTCAATATCCCTCCTCAATCATTGAGAAGACGTCAATATTCTAGCCTCCACCAGGCCTTTCTACGGGAATACGGATCGTAGAATTCTGAAAAAAAAAAGAGAGTAAAATTGGCCAAGAGAGTCCGGCTTCGGGGAGGTAGTTTCTTTCCCTCCAAAGGCGCGGCTAATCAAACATACAATCTAAACTCCCCTGGCAATTATTCTCTTATATATATCCAGCGTAGTTAGTCTGGTAGAGACAATATTCATATATAAGAATCCGCCATTTTTCACCACAAAGATAACAGATATATAACGTTACTCAACAAGACATTAGGCTAAATAATCATAATCCACACAATTAGTTCCATCATGTTGGTACTGGATAAGAAATATCCTTGTTTAAAGGTGGTGTGGTGTGTTATGTTACTCCTAGTCTACGCAATACAGGCAAACCTGCAAAAGTGACTAGTTGGAGAAAGAGAAGAGGACTCTTTTCACATGATTGTCACCGTTATTATATCAGTTTCTATTGAAAGTCATGAAGTGTTTAAATGTACGCAAAATGGCCTAAGCAAAATCCTCTGGGCCTTTGACAAGCAACAATCAAAAGTATGGTTAACAAATGCAATGATTGCAGAATTCTGTATATTACACATAAGTTAAAGATTTTGGTGGTATTAAAAATTAGATCATGGAAAAATTGTTATCCCAATCAGCTGATTTCCATGGATGTTTTATTCACTTAATACGTTTCACATGTCAAAAATATTTTTCTTCAATATCACCCTGTAATGTTACATAAAATCTATTATTTTAACCCTTGGATATATTATGGATATGATCACCGAAGAATATACCCCCCCCCCACCGCCTACATGTTCTTGGGGAGGGAATTTCAGATTCAAGTGGTCTTTGACCAAAGGCAGCTGTGCTCTCTGTCCATGGTGTGGGGAGAAGACAGATGACCAGTAATTAATCATGCCAGGCAGCTGGATGGGTGCACGTGGGCACCCGGTGTAAGTTACCTGCTTGGTCCAAAAACCACATGGCCTAAAGTTACCTCAAAACCAATTCCCTGGGGAATGCATTCGTGCAATTTTTTAATTCTTACACAAATACCTCCGCCCCAAAGGCGTCGCCAAAAAAGATGTAAGTTTTTGGAATAGTCTTGGATACTACGTCCTCCCTGAGCTATCACTATCTAGAAAACTTCCATTTCTACTAAAATCACCAAACCCAGTGGCACTTTAATATCATCACAAACATGGGACTATTCTTTAACCACTGTTTCATTGATAGATCCATAGACTCTGTATGTCTTTGACTTTAGACTTTACATTATACAAATATAGTACCTTCATGAAGTTCAGTTGTGTTGGTAGTTACATGTTTAAAATTAAAACGTTTGTTCCAACACAAAACGTTCTCTCACCTAGAGCTTTCGACCAGTCACTCTGGTCTTCCTCGGTAGACTAACCCAATGAGGCTTGTCACGTGGCTTCTTTGAAGTGTGACGTCAACACAAGAAGCCACGTGCATGAGTATGCAAATCCATATATTATAATCAGTCTTTTTAGGTTTTAAACCTCTGTATTGATTCGTGGCACTTTTTATTACTTCCAGCCCTATGTCACAAATTATTGGTGATCATTGTTACTTTTGGGCTGCCAATATTATAAATGAATGCATTCTTCTTTTCTGCGATGACATCAAAATATATTTTGTCGAATTTTTCATATTTGTATTTCAGTTTTTATATGTCTTCGCTGATCAAAAAGGACCGGCTCTGTACACTTTTATTACTTTCAAATATATCTTGTAGAATGTACTATGACAAGAACGTACTTCTGCCTATTGTACATTGTAGTTGTAGATCCAGCTAAGGATGCTAGTGGCCATGGCTAGGCACTGTCAAGGCCTTGGTCCAAAAATCCTTGGAAAAAATTGCACAATGAATGCGACTGTGCCTTAAAGTCATCTAATGCAATTTTGGGGCGCCAAAAATACTCTGGATGAGGAAATATGTCCGATGTAATGACATTTACTGCCATTTCTTAGCACATTCCGTCATCATTTCATTCTTGAAGTGTTTGAAACAGCCTCAAAACAAGCTATGTGAGGTATATCTTTATTTTTGGTACCACCCATAAATAGCTAGAAACAGCCTACCATACAAAACAAGCAACCACTGTCCCTCAACAAAATCACACTTTTACCTCATAGATATCTGTATACCAGGATAGGATGTTGATTCAAATAAATTTGATTTTAACAAATGACGAGAAAATTCAGTTTTGCTGCCTTGAAATTGCACTGTATGCCTTTAACCATTTCCCTGCTGAAGTAGACATTTGGCATCACATTTGTATTAGTCAGGAGGTCAGGCTGCAGGAAGAATAGCTGAATTGGTAGAGTGCTCTCTATGTAACCGGGAGGTCGTGAGTTCAAATCCCGGCCGGGTCATACCAAAGACTTTAAAAATGGTGCACACTTCTTTCTCTGCTTCGCACTCAGCACATATGAGAAAGAGTGTGGGAAGGTCAAACACACAGCACTACCAGCGGACCAGCCCCCTGCTGTAGTGCCCTGCACAACTGTGTGTCGCCCAAGGGCTACAGAAAATCAAATGGACATAGGCACCAAACCCCTATGCTCTGCATAGAGCACGGGAGACCTGCAGGAAGAAGGTTAATTCACAGTCTGCTGGAGTCGTTGGCAGAACGTTGTTGTGAGAAGGAGGGGATGGCTCCGGGGTCTTCCCTGATGGGCGGCAGAGGCAGGGTGTCCTTCTTCTTCGATGAGGCATGGCTCGGCAGGGGCTTCATCCCCAACAGTTTGCGGAAGGCCCTGAAAAAATATGACACAATAGTTTGTTTATCATGTTTAAAGTTAAAACTTTTGGTCCAACATAAAAAAGTTCTCTCACCTAGAGCTTTCGACCAGTCACTCTGGTCTTCCTCAGTAGACTGACCCAGTGAAGCTTGTCACGTGGCTTCTTTGAAGTGTGGCCAGATACCTTTGACCCAGTGTTGACGTCACACTTCAAAGAAGCCACGTGACAAGCTTCACTGGGTCAGTCTACTGAGGAAGACCAGAGTGACTGGTCGAAAGCTCTAGGTGAGAGAACATTTTTGTGTTGGACCAAAAATTTTAAATTTAACTTCAAACATGTAACTACCAACGCAGATGAACTTTCATGATAGTTTGTTTATCAATTAAGTGTAGTCTTGGTCCACAACGTAAAGGAAAGCAGGCAATACATGTAACAAAGGAAATCTATCAATGGTATGAGTGTACAGACTACAGAATACAATACAAACATGCATACAACAGAATGCCTATACACAACCTTAAATATTATTACACAACTTCGGGTTTAATACAGTCACATGTCTGAGCAATCTTAAGCCAAAAAATCCTTGTAGAAACTCCCTGGTACGTTTCCTGATAGTACAATGGAAGAAAGGTCCTGTGTCTGGAACCATAACAGTCGAAAGTTAATGTTTGGAAGTTACTGGTCATTAATTCTCTTGAAAGCAAGTTGACAATGACAATGACTTTATTAGCAAAAAGCAGACTTACATAGTAGAGTATGAAGTATTATGATAAAATCAATCACAAGATTAGTTAAAGTTAGAGTGGTCGTAGAAAATTTGATCCCTGTGTACTCTTTGTGATAAAGTTTAACCATGTACTAATATAATAATAATCCCTGTACAATCTATAGCCAATTTCTTGAGAAGGTTTCCGGCATCCTTACGATTTGAACTTCTTGTTCATGAAGCCGTAGACAAGGCAGTTGATGCTGGAGGAGCCGTGGGCTGCCACAGTGGCCAGGAAGTGAACAGACTGCAAAACAGGTGAAACAATGGCAGTCATGGTGAAACATCATCTCATAGCTTATCAGTCAGCATTCGCGAGTTTCCATTCCCAGAATACATTGCGAAAACAGGGGTCTAATCCTCATTTGCATAGGACAGGAAGGCATCGGAATGACCCTGGTGACGTTAATTTACAGCTTGCTTTTCACTGTGGTTGAGGTGTTGGGACATTTTATGCTCAACGTTAATTAAATTACTATGGGTCGAATCTGACAACAAATAGAGAATGAAGTTTTTGTGTTCTTTTTAACGTAACATGGAACATGTGTTTTGTAACGTTAAAGCATCAGTAACGTTATAGCGTTACCACTATAACGTTACAAACCACATATTCCAAAATAATCATTCTCTATATTTTCAGATTCAACCCATAGTAATTTTATTAACGTTGAGCATAAATGCCCCAATGCTTAAAAGAACACGCAAAAAACAAGCTGTTAAACGTCAACAGGATCATTCCGATGCCTTCCTGTTTTCGCAATGTATTCTGGGGATGGGAAACTCGTGAATTGGGCATACATGTAGAGCTGTGTAGGTCCAAAATACCTCAGTATCGGTACTGTACCTAAAATAATCTCACACTAATTATTTGCCTATTTGTGACCTAAATAGCTGGTCCCCCATGGGTCCCAAAGTAAAGACAATGTGTTTGTGTCACAGACTGACAGTGTTAACTACCCTGAAAGATCTGCTGCATATTAGTTACACTCCCTCTAGATGTCACTTTGGTCAGGTTTGTGTTGCAGGGTATATATAGATAACTGTAATATCTTAGGTTTAGCTATGCTTTGTATAAGAATTCTCCATAAACACAAACTTACACTTAACTGTCAAAGGCATGAAGTTTATTCAGACATGCTTTTGTCATTATGGAAGGAGTTTAGAAGAACATGTTAATTTGTTCAGGTACAGTTTCAGGTCTGAACCTGTACCTAAAATTTGTTCATGTATGTTTATGGTAGCCTGGTACCATCCTCCTCAAAGTTTTTTTATACCCAGTCATCCCACTAATTATAAGCATTGGTCTTTTTTCTGATAGCTAGTCTTTAGTCGTAGCAGACTTATTTAGGTGGCCACTGGGTAACACTCCCAGTACTGAGGAGATACAATGTAATCACATGTATAATGTGCTATAGTGAGCAATACCCACTTCATTGTACATACACATGGTAAGAATACTGTTTAGTGGGCAGTGGCTCACAGCTGCCAAGTGTTCTCAATTACAATGAAGGATATGTCGGTGGATTCTGACTTTGAAGGACTGCAAGCCGTTGATGTTACCCACAATGGTGTCAGGGAGTTGGTTCCAGATCTGAACTCCAGTGTGGATGAAGGTCCGGCCGGTGGAACTGGTTCTAGATACCGGTTGTGCAAGTGCGTGGGATGGCATAGCAAGGCTAGTTCTGGTTGTAAGTCTGAAGGTGTACGGCTTGGGGAGCATTGTCTTCAAGCCTGCTGGGCATGTGTCGGTGTGCATTTTGAGTGTCGCAGCAGCCACTTGGCGACGGTGCTGAAGAGATGGGATGTTCAGTGTCAACCTGGCTTATTGTTCGTTTGTTGATTTTAAGTGCCCTTCTTTGAGCAGAATCCAGGAGTCCTAATGAGGTGGCAGGTGCACTCATTCAGCACAATGAAGCATCTCCATAACACTGCGTACTTGTACCTTGTATACTGCAGCTCTTCCCCTGGCAATGAGCTTGTTGGCAACTCGCCTCAAAGCTTCAAGTTTCTGACCAGCTCTGGCTGCACTGTTTAATGTGTCCTCCCTGGCTAATCTGGCATTTTAGCTTTCCATCGTTTTCTCACACAGAAATTTAGAAAGAACTGTAGTTGTATTGAATATTGATACCTGGGTACAAAAGGGTTATGAATATGATTTTATGGACCATATGGATGGCGTCATCACATTTTATTGCCCCAAATGTAATTATCTTTAAAGCTATAATTATCTTTAAAGCTAATAATATTTCAGTTACTTGTACCAAGCACGTTGGTACAAGTAACTGAAATAAAAGTATGATTTTCATGTGCATAATGGTCAAAGCTACAAACGTACGTTTGCACAAATTGATATCTACTAATTACCAGTAGTTATTAGAGAATAACTAGATTTTAATTAGGCAATTAGGTGTGTTTTGTCCAGCTGAGTTTGCTGTCAATAATGACTCCCAAGATTTCTATATCGTCTTTCTCAGCCAATTTGGTGTTTCCAAAGAAAACATCTGACCTTGTTCGAGACCCTTTTCTAGAGATTGCCATTGTGTTTTACACTTGGTTGGTTCAAATGTAACTTTAAGTACATTTCTCTGCCCAGATCCTAATCGTTTCCCAGTCCCTGGTCAGGCTCGCCGCTGCTGAGGCTCTGTCATCGTTAGTTCTGACTACACAGTAGAGAGTGGAGTCGTCTGCATATAGATATGGAGGGCTCTCACACCCATCTCCCACATCATCTAGAACGACTGTTGCATGTCGATGTTTGAAGGAAACAAATTGACCCTAATGACTCATTATGCCGTATACATGTACTACAGTGTCTCCTCAAATGGTCTCAAGGCTGATTACACTTTACCTAGGAGTCTTGTAATCTTATATTCCCTTGCCTTCCAATGTTTGTTATTTGTATGTGACCTAGTTATGATTTCTCTAGGGAGTCTGGAGTATATTTTTGTTTCGTATTAGCGAGTGGAGCTGGGATTTGTTCTCTTAGAGTACGGTTTTTATTCAAACATTTCATGACTAGACATGGTGACAGCACACTCAAGTTATATCAACTTATTTTATGCCGCCACCAACGCAGAGGACGAATAAAGGACAAGGCAATACTCATTTCCACTTGGGTTAAGTGAGGAAAGCCGTGTAAAGTGCCTTTCCCAAGGGCACAAGATCGGTGGCATGTCAGGACTCGAACCCGGGACCTCTTGCTTCCGAGTCGAGCGCGCTGCCGCTACGCCACACGACCCCAGAGTAAGGTTCATCTTTGCAAAAACACTGGCATGTCTCCAAGGGTCTGGCAGCTAAATTCCTTTTTAAACAGCCCCGCTTATACGAGGGACATTTAGAAAGTGGTGGGTCTCAATGGGATGAAAGTGGCAAGTCTCACATTTCGTGGCAAAACAATTAACTGCAAAAAGTTCCATCAAAGTTTACCAAATGGCAAATCATTACCCAGCAGGTAACAATCTGAATAGAACATCTCAGTAAGGCCACACCGACTTAATTTTATGGATGACATCCACGCGCGCATTGATTTTCGCCTGTTCTCCAAAAAAAAGGATCACGTCCTCCGAGGCTCTGGTCTGGCTCTATCCCTGGGTAGTCCATGGTAGTTAGCAAGAATACGGGAACCCAGGCTACCGAAGCTCCACGTCCCAAGAACTCAGTACATACGTACAGTGCGATTAATAATTTTTATTCGCCCGCGCGCACTAGTTTGGGGGTCTTCAGAGGATGCAATCCATTAAAATTAAGTCGGTGTGGCGTTAGGAGCTACATTGTAAGCCCATGAGAGAAATCAAACAAAGTGGATCAACATCAGGGCCCTTCCTGCCCCACATCTCATCGTGTGTAAATCTTTGCTGTGATCTCTGGGGGAGGCTGCATTAAGGAAATAGGATTGATAAACGATTTCTGGGATTTGATCAGGGGCTTCTGTGACATTTTCATCCCGAAAACATCATAAGAAAGCTGAGCTCTTGGGATAAGGTTGAAAACAGGCTTTATATGACCGAGGCAGCTAAATTACTCCTTTTTTTCTCTTTCCAAAGGTTCGAAGGGCCAGACTTCCTTTAACTATCTCCCCTTTGTATTTTGTTTTCTGTCTATGGATATGGAGACAGTGCAATGATTTTAAAGGCATCCAATGCGATTCAGAGCAGCAAAACTGGAAATATTCTGAATAAGGCAGCAGTCTTTATGATATTGACACATACAGGAAGACTGAGTGATTCTGGTGAGTGAAATTTATGAGTTGGAGAACAGTTTAAATTTTTCATAAACTAATCAGAGATTGCAGACTCGACTTCCTGAATTCCCCCAGGTCAACCACTGGCTAATGGCCAGATTCTAAAACCTTCGTGCCATTTCCTGAACCTGACCTTTTGAGCTGTCATTCTGTCTGTCAATCCCCCCCCCCCCACACACACACCCATGTGCTGTCAACCTCCCCGGACAAACAGATACACAAACCCACAACTCAGTCACCCAACACAATACTTCCGTACCTGGGAGCAATTATTATGTCTTATGCTTGTATTGTCTGTTTTTATTACTACATGTACCCCCCTACATTGTTAGTTGACTGTTCCTTACCTGCGGCCAGTGGTCATCAAAGTCGGCCAGGGCCACTACAGCGTGGGGGAGCCAGCACAAGTAGAACACCACACACACCACCAGTAAGGTCTTGATCAGGCGGATCTCTTCGTAGTTCACATTGTTGTTCATGTTCCTGGTTTATATGGAAATTCATTTTCATTATGAGTAAAAAAAATCATCATTCCCAGGGGTTAATCAATATAAATACTAATACTCACTCTCTCCCTCCTTCACTCACTCACTCACACACTCACTCACTCACTCACTCACACACACTCACTCACTCACTCACTCACTCACTCACCCACTCACTCACTCACTCACTCACTCACTCACTCACTCACTCACTCACCCACTCATCCAATCACTCACCCACTCACTCATTCATTCACTCAGTCCTCTTGCACGGAGTGAGTAGAGCCCACCAGGTCAACCTGTTCCCTCCATCTCAATCAAATATTAATAGCTGTGTGATAATAAATCATATTATGATAGCTGAGCCTAATAACTTATAATCTGTGAAGATAATTTTAGCTGTTCTGAAGGAATCATCAGGTCACATTAAAACCTTCATGTGGTAAGATCTAGAAGACACATCAACAAGTCACTGACATTGGTACTGAAAGTATCGAACAACGTTTACTTTTCTTATTTTTTATTTATTTAAACTTTATTTCAGGCACTTGGCCCATATGACATACATACGTATACAGGAATATAAGGTACAGAAAAAATGACTGAGTAGCTAAAATACTAAGCAAGAAGCCATAGGTGACAATCCTCCGTGAAGTTTTATATATTTCAACAAAAACAAGCGTCAACGCCAGACCTACTGTAACATGGTATCCAGTCTGATCGTGGTCGGGGCCGTAAAAGCTCGGGGCCGTAAGAGCTCTGGCCCGCCCGCCTCACATAGGTTTCCCGGTGTGTATTTCACGAGAGATTAATTAGCCCTCCTATCGTGTTGGGGGAAACCAAATCCCCAAGCATACTGTCTCTGATTTGCGTAACACTCCTACCGGGACGGTCTGTTGCACTGGGCGGGGGAAGCTCTTAGAGCCCCCGAAGACACAACCTGCCTGAACACCCCAATACCCACAATCACGATCAGACTGGATACCAGGCTAGACCTACTGTGCAGACATTATGATTAGGCAACGGTTAATACAATGAGGGCGCGTCACAAGCATAAAACATAAAAAGACCTAAATCCATTCCTGCTCCCAGGGCGTATAAAGATACTGTGCTTCAAGTTCGAAGTTCATTTTAATTACACACACACAATCATTGCATTCACATAAAGATCGGACTATCATGGTCGTGTCACTAGTAACAAAGTCAGCCCCACCGTCTTACCGTGCCTGTTACTTATTAAGCGCGACTGTAACAGGCCAAATTCCAGCAACAGTTGCAGCGAGTGTCACTACCGCCGGTCAGATACCCGGGATATCTGCTTAGAGAACCTCTGCTACCAGACAACTGCATAAACCTACGGCCTATTCCACAGGATTGTAAAAGTAGGGATGTTTTTAAAATATGCATTTACTTCGATATCAAAACAGCTACGGTAAAAATAAAAATACGTGCATCATCCCGGACATAATGCCACACCACATGCGAAATTACACAGAAATGCGACGTACAGAAGAATGCGTTTTGGCTACGAACATCTTCCAAAAAAACTTGGCATCTCTTAAGCATGGGCAAAAACATCTGGAACCACTTATCAAAACCACCCCGTATCTGCATGAAGTTGTCCTTAAAGCTAAGGCCACATGCTAAGAAGAGCTGCCTTAGCCATGATCGTATACTAAGGTAAGATGTCCTAGCTAAGGCTACATGCCTTAAAAGGTTAGACTTAAGCTATAGCTGAGGCCAAAACGAATTGCACTTAGGCCTAAACTTTAAGGATAAGGCCACTTAGGGCATGCCTTAAAGGATACAAGTTGTCAGGGATATTTAAGAATGGTTACAAGCGGATTTTACCAAACACGTCAATATCAAACCTGCGTCACAGAGCTGGATTATTTGACTTCCTTTTAAGTCTAAATTTGTAATGCCTGAGTAAAGGTAAAGATCCCCCGGAAATTGTTTTTTACTCCACGAAGGTTGATTTGATTTGATTTATTGAAATTGCAACGGTGCAATACACGCGGAACACAGGCAGCTGTTGCTGGTGTTGTGTCCCGCACATAGAAACGAAAACTGGACAGACAATACTCATTTTCACTTGAGTCTAGTGGGGAAAGTCGTGTTAAGTGCCTTTCCCAAGGGCACAAGATCGGTGGCATGTCAGGGCTCGAACCCGGGACCTCTTGATTCCGAGTCGCGAACGCTGCCGTTGCGCCACACAATCTCAGGTTGAGTTGTTGTTTTTTATTCGTAGATACATGCAGTTATAACGAAGGCAGCTGTTGCGTAAGTGCTGAGAGAGATGTAAGGGATATTTTGTTTTTGTATAAAGAAGCTATATAATTAATAACTATCTAAATGTCAAACAAGTTTCCACCACCTGTGGTCCCATTAGTGATGCCTAAAGCTTTAAGCTTAGATGTGAAGCGAACTGCCTACAAATCTTTTAAAAGGTGGAGTAAGCATACTATTGTGTGGGTAGTGGGTGTGGGTAAATTCCTACGGATCAGCAAGCTGAGGGGGTCTGAGTGCAAGCCCAGTGACATTTCCTGTTGACACACATTCCCTTTGTCAGCAGGAAACAAGAAACTGCTACTGAATGACCTTTAGAATGAGGAAAACAGGTTGCGTTTTCAGCGTACAGGATTACTTAACTGAACAATTGTCACAATGAAAGGATAAGTCCTCTCAGTGGGAGAGGGCTTAGCAAGACGTTGTTTCGCTTCCCTAAATGTCTTTACAACTTTTCCAAAGTATTCTAAAAACATGTGAGGTTTGGCATGTTTTCTTGTGTGAATTTGATACATACAAGACTAGCATGTCCAGAACATGACATTTCCTGTTGACACATTCCCTATGTCAACACAGGAAACTGATACTATACTACTGCTACTGAATGACCTTTAGAATGAGGAAAACAGGTTGTGTTTTCAGCGTACAGGATTACTTAACTGAACAATTGTCACAATGAAAGGATAAGTCCTCTCAGTGGGAGAGGGCTCAGCAAGAAGTACAGCGCAGTATGCAATAAACACATCACAAACTCAGAGAGTGGTTTCGCTTCCCTAAACTTTTCTTTACAACTTCTCAAAACAAAAATATTCTAAAAATGTGAGGTTTGGCATGTTTTCTTGCATTTCATACATACAAAATTAGCATGTCCAGAACACAAAACCTGAAGTTCTGACGCGGTACCAAGGAAAACCACCAGTCGGTGCAAAATGTAGACCCTTCCTCCATAGTTTCTCCTTTCCTCCAGAGATTCTTGACTTATTTGTTACATCCATGCAAACAAACAAATGATACCAAAAACATAACCTTATTGAGGTTTGGAGTCACTACACAAGACCTTACAACTGTCTACATCGTGTACGTCAGACCCAATATGGAAAAAGCGGCACCTATGTGGCATCCGGCCCTGACCTGTACACAGTCTGCAAGGCTAGAAGAACGACAACAGAAACGGACATGCAGAATCATCATAGGCCTGGGCACACAATACACAGACTACACTTCAGCACTGTCTACGCTAAACCTTGACTCCTTGGCAGGGTTGCACTCACGTATACTCACCTATGCCTCACCTTCGCCAAGAAACTCCTCAACTCAGTGACTGGTTACCCCCACCCCGTAAACAGATATCCGGCAGAAACACACGTGTCGCTAATAAACTGGACACTCCCATCTGTAGAACAACTCGCCACAAAACTCTGCGATACCTTACATGACAAACTTGCTGAACAAACACTTTAAATGACAATCTGTAATTACCGACGTGGCCTCATGAATTGTATTATATTTAGAAGACTATACAAATTTTATCACATTTATATTTATTGATTTTAAACCGAATTTAATTGATTGTCTATTTTTAACTCCTTAGCGTTTTTAACCTACATGTATTTCATTGCAAATGCCTACCAATTCAGACTTATTGTCTGCAAGAAGGTGTGTGAATAAAGTTTTAAAGTTTCTAGGTGAAGGCAATAAAAACGAACTTACCCTTTAGGGCTGGCGAGGTGCACGGCCACACGCATCTTGCTCTGGTGCACGTGGTAGAAGATCTTACTGTAGCTGCACACCACCACCACCAGGGGGAGGCCGATACCAGCGATCACCAGGAACAGGGTGTAGCTGGGGAGAGACGTTCTCGTTGTGATGAAATGCTCGGTCCATTTATTTATATATTTATTTATTTATTGCTTATTTCAGGCTTAATGGCCCATAGCACATACACACGACATTACACAAACACATCTAAAATAAAACATCTAGGTGGGTACAAATACTGTAGATAAAAGACTGTCAAGCCCTTACGGTGGGCGGACCAGTCTACAGTAGTGGCTCCAGAATGGACTAGAGCAGAAGGTCTCCGAGCGGAGCAGCAGTTTGACAATTGCGTTCTCGGACGATAACAGACGCGAAGCAAAGGAGTACAAGAACTTCCGGCGCCTGGCATCAAACGTGTCTACACGCGTTTGTACAAATAGGTCGCTGTTACTAGTACTCCTAGGCTGAGACAGTAGGATTTTAAGACCTTCGTGATAAGCAACTCGTAGCCTATAGTAATGATAGAAATGATCTTTTAAGATATATTACAAGCACGTTTCCATACTTCCAATACTTGCCTAATATTGAAAAATTTATCTTCCTTATGCGCTTTGATCACTCTGTATTAAACAAACCCATTTCAAATGATATTTTTAACATCACAAAGAAACGAGAAGAAGCCGAACCATTGTATCAGTGTAGTTTTAGAGCTGTTTGTACTACAAACATGTATATTACCTTGTCATCTGTTCACCTGTACTTAGTCCGATAGGGCATGAATGTACAATAAAGGTTATTATTATTATTATTGTTCAAAAGTGTTCTTCAGATACATGTAACTGCTTTTAAAAGCCGACAGGGCCACAGATACGAGTATACCGGTAGTTTCTTTTGCAGTACTTACATGTAATCTTTACATTGTTAGATCTAGGCTTAGGCGTAAGCTATAGC